ACCCTCGCCCCGCCCCCCCCACCGGGCCGCGGGGGGGGGGGGGAAGACGACACACGGCCTCGCTTCGCTGGCCGGGGTCGCCTCCCGCAATCCCCCTCCCCCCGTTACTCCCTGTTCCCTCTTTTGTTATCATCTGGTTCGTTCCTCCCCGTTCCCAGCCCTTAAGTGGGCCTAATCCAAATGTGCGAGGGTGGCGCGGGGAGGGGGGCGATCTAGGTTTTGGATAGATCACTTGTGACATTAATAGCTCTGGGGAGGCTAATAGAGACAATGGGAGTTAAACGAACTCTTGAGATTACTAATAAAAGAGCCAATTATCATGTCGACTTGGAAAGAGCATCTCTTTAAGATTTATTCCTTGCACATCTAATTTGACGTGACAAAGGCTCCCCAGATTGGGCGTCTCGGGCCTTGGGGGGGCGGGGGGGGGAGAAGCGGACTGAAACTTTCGCTCTCGCAGGGCAAAGGCGGAGGCATCGGAAAGGAAGGAGCGAGGGCTTTGTGGCGCGTCAGACCCGGGCGCTGCTCAGCCTAAAATCGTCCAGACGCTCCGGCCTGAAGGGATGCGAAGGCGCGCCTTTCTGCCAGCAAGGGTCCTTCCAACAACAGTTTGCCAAGCAGAATTCGGTGGTGGGGGGGAAGCCAACGGTTTTGCCCCCCTACCAGCAACCGAGAACCGTCTTCAACAACGCCTTGTCCCCCCAACAACCACCACCCCAAACCGCACGCTTCTCCGCGCAATCCGTTCTCTCGGGGCTGTTCTAAAGCGAAGGGAACTGGAACACAAGACCTTCTCGACAAATAACGACCGTGAGGACGGCAGGAGCCACGCCGGCTTCAGGAAACCTTCGCACGCCCCACAGATCACACCAAGCCGGCGGCGGGCGGCACCCCTCGGCCATCTTCGCGGCCGGGCCACAACAAAGCCTGCCTGAGTCGCGGCAGCCGCCCAAAACCGTCTCCTCCTCATAACCCCGAAGTTGAAGGCGGAGAGCCGGGGGCGGGGCGAGGGGGAGAGAACCCGGGTTCCCTGCGCGTTTCATGCATAATAATCCCAGGCAACTCGAGGAACCAGGAATCAGTCCTGGGCCACGAATGGCATTAGGAAGGACTCCGGATCCTTTGAAACGAGGGAATGCAATCCCCCCCCCCACACACACACTCCCACGTAAATTTCCGAGGGGGGGGGAGGATTGTCAGCTTGGTTTTCCATTTGCAATCCCGTTGTAAATTACGT